CTCCCCCACACAGTCTGTGGAAAAATGGTCTTCCACGAAAATGGTCCCTGGTGCCAAAAAGGTTGGGGAACTGCTGTGATAGAGTAATGAATAATTCATGTATTCCTCTTGTAAAGAAAAATCTAGCACACCAAACATACTGAAACTATGTGCACATGAAGTGGTCAAAAATGGCCCATTGAACTGATGAATAGACACACTGGAAGAAGTCAAAACAGATATTTGATATCATCTTTACTTCTTCTTGTTCACTTGTACCAATATCAGGTCCAACAACATTGGAAAAAAAACGCTTTTATGGTCCTGTGTCAAGTACTCTGTTTCTCTAATCCTCCTTCCAAACTAAATTATGTAGACACATTGACTTGGATCTTATGACAGATTAATTTAAATGTTATAGAACATTTCCAGGGCTACAAAATTTGGATGATCAGTAAACGGCAGCAGAGAGATACAAAAACCTCCAAGATTACTGGTGATAATTATACAGCTGCTCTAATAATGCCTTCTTGTCCATTCCATATGGGGGAATCTTCAAAAACATCTACATAGCTATGTAGCCCAGTTAGGACAAAAGAGGAATGCATTTGGTGATAATCAGGACAGACTCTCCCTAGCTCGCTCACTCTCACTCTTGCTCTCTCTTGCTCTACATCTATCTATCTATCTATCTATCTATCTATCTATCTATCTATCTATCTATCTATCTATCTATCTATCTATCTATCTATCTATCTATCTAATACGCCACCCATCTCACTATCCAGAGTGACTCTGGGTGGCTTACAATGGCATAAAAGCATGAATAGCAGTTAAATAATTCCGACTGGTGGGGTCCAGGATGAGAGCCTCTCTGCCATTACCTCACCCTGTGGAATATCCTCCACCCCCCAGAACTGAAGCAGGCCCCCACTCTCCTGGCCTTACAGAAAGGAATGAAAACATGGTTTTGTGGCCTTTGTGCTGGATAGCACTCTGAAAGCCTTCCCTTCGCCTGTCAATTAATTTTTAATAATTTTAATCACATGTGCCTCTTTTGTCAATTGTTTAATTTTTTATATACTGATTCTAAAATGTGATAAATAATTATAAAAGCATAATAATTAAATGAAGGTGAAAAACCAAGAGCACAGAGGTATTCTCTGTCTCTTACTCAATCAACCAATTCCAGCACAGTGCGCTCCCCACTGGGGGCCCCAGCCAACCGACAAATTAACGCATTTTCTCACTGCTTCCTTCCTATTCTGCTGTGGCTGTGGCTTTTCTAAGTTTAAGCATGTTATCCAAACAAAAAGTATCATTTCCCACTAGCAGTGACAGTACTGTCTAATAAGTGCTAAATGAATAGGCTTCGAAGTGCTACTTAAGGAACAGTAGCCAGTCTGAATTTGAACAGTTCATTTAATCACAGACAAGCCACTAATTGTTGATAAGGAACCACCCATGAAAGTGGCAAGGAGATGGTGTGTCGTTCACTGTTACAACTAGAATGGTTTAACATACTGGAGAAGCTTCAGCTGTGGCATCAAAAAGAGCCTGAAGGTAAACAAAAAACCCAGTCCAGATTTAAATATACAATAGCACTTTTATTGCAACAACTGTCTTACAAGTTAAAATGCGATTGGCAATTTTATGAGACTCAAAAATTGTTCCCAACACAAGCAAGTCTTTATATGTTCACATTTGGTTATATGAATGTCTCACAGATTAAATCTAGTTTTCCAATAAAAAATGAATAATGTAAGGAAAAATATGAAAAGTGCAACACAGCAAACAAATTTTATCTACTGAATACTGTATCCTAATAATTTAATTTTTTGCAGCAGGAGCACTTTCTCAAAAGACACCAGTGTTGTGTATCTTTTTAAACTGAAAAACAATGCCCCGTTTCAGTTCCAGACTAAAAACTTTAAGATATGAGCAACAATCAGCAAGAAAGCCCCACTGAGGGCTATCTTGCTAGCTACATTTGGAACATTGTTACAGAAATCCCAGTTGCAGCACCTGTATTTGAAGTTGTTTATTGACAAATGATATGAAATAAAGTCTACATTACAGTCAGAATACTTCCAGCACTGAGATGTATGTTTTACACCTGAAAAAGAAAAAAAACCATGAAGATTATAAATGTAGGTTTTATCCTACTTAATTAAAAAAGGGTTTTGTGTGTGTATAAGTAAAAAAGGTAGTCTGTTCAGTAATTTCAGTCTTTTTTTCAGTTGTTAAATTAAAACAATACCTTAAATGATATTGTAAGACTATTTGTACCCCACTTTTCTATATAAAATCCCAAAATAGAGAGTTTTAAAAAGTTGCTTTAAAGATTTTGAATTGGC